TGGGAGAATTCTGCGTCGGGTGGGCAGTCGCAGGGCCCTCTGTGTTTTCCAGAGGCTGTTGTCTTGCGGATCCAGCGACTCTAAGTGTCTGGACCAGTTTTCCTGAGCCAGTTCACTCAGGGCCGCCTTCACCCGTGTGTTTAATACGTTTAAGTCGTGTTTGTGTTGAGGAAGGCGGGAGCGGGTAGCAAGCCGTTTAAGGTGTCGTCTGTCGCGTATGAGTTGTCTGGTGTCATCGGGGAGCATGCCCCTGGGATTTGTCAGTCGGGGGACTATTGCTCTGTCGTGGTTTGCGTCAGTGCGTTTTTAATGTCTGTCTCTAAAGTAAGGACTGCTGCCTCCAGATTATGGGTGGTTTACGTTCATACGTCGAGACAATGAATTAAATCCTCCTCCATACATAAACCTATGGAGGGTAGACAAGGAGTGAAGTCTTTTATGGGCTGAGCAAACAAATTCGGATCCCGTTTTATGTCCCAAATTAAAGTTTAAGGTGTCGCCGTTGTATATCGCTGATGCACTGGGGTGGTGACGGAGAGTCTAGTAATGAAGTTGTGCTTATGACAGACGCAATAGATAAGCGAAAGGGCTTATTTAATATTTATGAAGAAACGTTTATGTAAACATTATGGTGAAGAATTGTAAAAATAGTTGTGTGTTAATCTTCTTCATGCCGTACTTACTGCCACCAACGCCGCCTTTACGTGACCCAAGAAATGGCTCACTTTTTTAACAAGTTGTTTAACAAGAGTTTTGGATTGTAGACATGGAGCAAAAAAGTGAGTCATCTCTTGGGTCACGTAAAGGCGGCACTGATGACAGAAAGTAGGGTATGAAAAAAATTTACACAACCACGAATTATCACGAATTTTTAATAAATTTAATTGAATTTTTAAGAATTTAATAAATTCTTAAAAATAAATTGCAATATTTATTTTAATTTCTAGGCTAGTAATTTCTAATCATTTTAAAATAAAATTGGTTGTTTGCTTTCTTCACTCCGATTTATTATACTACATTAACTTCGGCGCAAAAGGAAAACTAGCGATCCTAGTGGTAAAAACTATATATGTAATTTCTATCATTTCTACAGGCTTTGTCAATTTTCCCATATGAGTTCGGTCTCCTTGTCTGGTGTCTCCCTTCTTAAAACTATGGAGGGTAGACAAGTAGTGAAGACTCTTATGGGCGGCGCATATAAATTCGGATCTCGTTTCATGTCCCAAATTAAAGTTCAAGGAATCGCCGTTGTACAGCGCTGATGCACTAAAGTGGCGGCAGAGAGTAATGAGGTTGCGCTTATGTCAGACGTAGTAGATAAGCGGAATGGATTATTTAATATTTATAAAGAACCGTTCATATAAACATTATGGTGAAGAATTGTAAAATTCGTGGATGTGTTAGTCTTTTTCATAGTCTACTTACTGACATCAGCACCGCCTTTACGTTACCGAAGAAATGGAGTTTTAACATGGAGTTTTCACTCCCTGTCTACCCTCCCAACATGAAGCTGCATAAACTCGGTACATGGAACAAGAAACTTATAACTTTGAAACAGTAATTTTATTTTTTTCGCGTATAGTAAAATTCATTAGATATAGAGAATAAGAAATTCGATAATTGTTGACATTCCCCACAAGGGTGAGCCATAGTTTTAGGGGAAATTAGGCATTCCGAGGCCAGAGGGCAGCATGATCGACGTAATCAAATTTAAAATCTAAGGAATGGTGTCTCAGAAAGAGACATTTCTTTGCTTAACTGTTATAATAGAATAATAAAAATGCTAAAAATAAACTATAATGATAAATACGTAATTAGTCAGATTAAAAGCGTTGGTCGTAATGCCCCTGAATCCTGATGGCTTTTGACAAACCTCAAAATTTGTAGACAAGCGTCAGCCTTTACTTTACGTAGTTTATAAACTTATGGTATATATTTTTTATTAAACGTAATGAAGTAAAGTGCTTATAAGCGATTGAATTTTATCAGTTAAGCGGTCACGTCAGAGAAATGCGCTGAAATATGGTTTAAAGCGTTCATTGAGTCCTCTAGTAACACGTATTTGGAATGAAGTGAGGATAAACGTCAAAATTTTATACTAAAACTATGTTAAGAAGCATTTTTAGAGCAAGGAAAACAAACAATATCGCAAAACACATACAAACAACCAATCCTGAGAATTGTTAAAATTGTAGTATAAAAATCGGTCTCCTTATCTAGTCTCCCTAGTTTTTACCAAAATAATAATTTATTTTAAAACTAGAATTTAAAATTCAAACGTGTTGTGTTTAGTTTCAGTTGCAACCGCTAGGGACGCTAAGTGTTTGTCGATCCAACCGTTTTACCTGCGTTCTAATATTGTTGTATGTATCTCTTACCCGTGTTTATCTAGAAATTAGTCTTTGTCTGAATTGAAAAAAAATAGTTCATTTTAGAACTTCAGCAATTTGTCACGCTTTTTAAAAGTTGGATAAAGTTTTAAAATGAATTATTTAGAAGTCATTTTTATTTATTACATTTTTTGTAAATTTAAAGACCTATTCAAGCGGTCCAAGAGTTGTTACCATAGTTATCCCTTAGGTTATAGAAATGTTATACCCTTTTGTCAGTTTTGCCCTTTTTGACAGATGTTGGTAATTACTTCAATCCTTTGAATATACTGAAAATTTTGAACTTGTTTGTTGTAGTATACATCACTTTTGACGTTGGAGATGCGTTGTTTTTTTTTTGTTTTACCTAAAGTTCACATTATCTTAGGAAATAGGAGGCATCAACAAAAATTATTACTTGCAGTAGCGGAAGAAGTCCTCATAAAATCATAAAAATTGCAATCCGAAGTACTTTTATGTTAAGTGCAGAAGTGAAAAGAGAGAGGATAACCACCATATTGGCCATATTCGTTGGCCAGGTTAATCGGGGTATACAAATGTCATATGATGACGCAAGTAGTCCTCATTGATGACGTCATTGTCTTATAACTTTTGATAACCACGGCTCTTAAACGAGTTTGCTAATTACCGTTCCAATTTGATAAATACTTTTGGACCGTTTGAATAGGTCTTAACTAAAAATGTCGCTTATACCGAACAAGACCCATTTATTTTTATGGTACATTTTCATAGTAATATACGAAATTCTGGTGCAAGTTGGTTTAAAGCTGAATTCATAGTACATAAAACTTAAGAGTCGTGTACTACATAACCATAGGCCGTATGACGTTATTTGTAGTAGGTGCATTTATAATATACATAACTTAAATCCGTACGCAATAGGGATGGGCAAAATGACTCTTTTCAAAGATTCGTATGGAGTCGTACTGAAAGATTCATATGTTTCGTATCGCTATTCTTGGGCTGTGCAAGTACGTGATACAAAATACAAATTACAATACGATACGCAGGCATACGCTAACTGGTTTATTGGTTGGCGCTTAGCGGTCTTAACTCCCACTTCTCATTCACTGCGATAAACGCATTAAAATTAGTAACTTCGGTATAAACAACAGTAATATTGTATACTTTTTATTTTAGTATTAATATAAATAAAATACAAGAAATATTTAAATAAAAAATGTATTTTACTATATACAGTGTGTCTACTTTTATTTGTGTACAAATCCATAAAAACCTTATTCTTCAAGATAATTCAACAATTTTTTTTTATTTTAAATAACATCGAAAACCGCTTCTTGTGATCCTTCGATGGTTTTTAAGATGGCGATCCAAGGCCTACTATGATTTTTTTATAACCCCTAATTTTCAATATAAACACTTAGCGATTTTTTTATTTAAAATCTGATGAGACGGTGTGAACCAGAACCCCTCAAAACCTCTAGGTGTGAAATTTGAACCAAAATTATACAGAGTGTTTTCTTCTACACGACCTTAAAGTTTTAAACGTGTACAAATCTCTAAAAACTTTATTCTTCAAGATAATTCAACAAATATTTTTTTATTTTAAATGGCATCGAAAACCGCTTCTTCTGATCCTTCGACGGCATCTAAGATGGTGATCCAAGGCCTGCTATGATTTTTTTATACCCCCGAATTTCAATATAAACACTTAGAGATAAACACTTTTTATTTAAAATCTGATGAGACGGTGTGAACTAGGATCCCTCAAAACCCCTAGGTCTGAAATTTAAACCGAAACTATACAGTGTTTTCTTCTACACGACCTCAAAGTTTTAAACGTGTACAAATCTCTAAAAACTTTATTCTTCAAGATAATTCAACAAATATTTTTTTGTTTTAAATGGCATCGAAAACCGCTTCTTCTAATCTTTCTAAAGGGTTTATAATTCACATGGTCCTAATCGCACACCGATAGATTGTAACTGTTTGGTAGTATCAAAAATATATTCAAAAATTGTCTCCACACATTAGAAAGGCTGGGAGCAGCAATTCAATATGAAATAGAAATTATAACTTGAACTGAACTTTAACATGTTTTTCAATGCGTGAAACATGAAGTAAATTTGTGTTCAGAAAATGATAGCGGTTATTTTGAACTTCTTTTATGAATTTGAATAATATAATACATTTTAGTTAGGCTTAGTAAAGAAACTTATTTATATTTATGCTGCCATTGTAAAATAAACTATAATTAATCTATAATTCATATTTAACTATCGTGAAAATTTAATAAAACATTCATACCACTGATTCTGTGATTTCATTCAACTTACAAAATCGAAAATTACATTTCTCAGTTTTAGGATTTTATTTTCACATTATTATTCCAAACAAATTACACAAAATTGTTTTTCAGTAATTTTATAATTTTCTAAGAAAATTTCAAAGTTCCATAAAAAAAAAGAAAAATAAAAAATTTTCAGAATAAAATTCATTTTTATCTAGTTAACGTAATATGTACGCAAATGAAAAATTTTCTGGCTTTAAGGAATTTTGAGTTATTTCATTGTGTTTGGTTGTTTAATATTCCTTGTATTAATTATACAATTAATTAAATTAATAATTTTTAATAATCTTTGACATTTGTTGAAGATCCTGCATTTTTTTTAATATAAAAGAGTAAGCCAGTATCAGCATTTTTAAATTCTTATTGGTTCTTTACTAATAATGTTTAGTTTGTTCAACATAAATAATATCCTGGACGCAATGTGTGAACAAATTGATAGTGCTATTGTAGAAGATTATCTAGAGGGGCTTTTATTCACTATACTGAATGAAGATCAATCTATGAACTGTGATATATTTAATGTTCTGTTTTCCATCTTCCTGTGAAAACACAGGAAACTTTTAGCACAGAATAACACAACCAAACTAATAGCTGGCCGTGTTTTGTAGTACACGCACCATAAATTGTTAAACTGCAAACTATTTGTTAGAATTACAAAGTTTGATAAACAGTATCTACATTAATTTTCAATGACATTTCAATTTGTGTTAGTTTGTTGTTTTCAATAAATACAAAATATTATGACTTCGACATCAGATCTTTTATCGTACACAAATTTATTTGACGATACATCTGTTTCAAAAAAATTATGTGTATGAGAAAATAACATTTAATTGAGAAATTAAATTTATTTTAAAGTGTTGGAAAAATCTATTCTGATTATACCACTAAGTTTATAAACTAATGATTATACAGCGACTTCAACAAAAGTAAAAGCCCACATGATCAAGTGTTAGGTAGCCCACTAAAAGCAATTATTAACTTAAAATTCCCTAGAGGGAAAAAATGGTTTAGTGACATACACACTATATTTTCTATATAAAAACTGAAATGTAACATGTTTTCAATTCATCGCAAAAGCTCTTATTTTTAGTTTTCGAAAGATTCTTAAATTTTTGTAAAAGAGAATTTGGAGTTCTTTTCTTTAATATATCGTTTGAGTCGATAAGTTCTTCCAACTCTTTTTTAGAGGGTTCCGAGCCCATCAGAGAATGCTTCTCCAAACTTTTTTCTAAAATTTCCTTTTCGGGTGTTGAGTATCGTGGACGTTTTTCTGAAAGTATTATAGAAGTTATAAATTTCAATGTTAAGTATAGCAATAGGAATCAACAATTGATTTTGGGGAAATTATATGAAAAAATATTAATTTATTGTTAATTACTAATACCAATGTGGCTAAACAATGAAATGCTTACAAGATTGAGGTACATTTGTCATTCTAAAATAAATTGTAACATTCTTATTGCATAATTTAATTGTATTTACATTGTTAAGACAAGAATGACAATATATTCATAGACATACAGGGTGTACTTGTACAAACTTTGAAAGATGAATCTTTGACTAATTTTGAGACAAAAAATTCATATGTACATGGGTCCCCAACGGCTTGGTTCTTGAGATACAAAGCGTTTAACACGTTGACTGCGGTACATACCTCGGGGGGTATATATTATAAAAAATATGCGAATCTCAATAATCACATTTTTACTGTATCTTGTGGAAGTTGCAGAATCTGTAGTTTTTAGAAATAATGATTTTTCTATTATTTTCTTTTCGAAACTCTGCGAATGAAAACGTTAGTATCCTAGGATATATAGTTACAGATACATGCAAGCTTATAGCAATAATTGTTATTTTAAATTTTATAGGGTCAAATGTAAAAAAAAATTACATATCCCCAGGGATATGTACCGCACACAGAAGAAGTTTTATTACATATCCCCGAAGATATGTATCACAGTCACGGACAAAGTACATTGAAATTATCTCGCAGTCAACGTATTAAATAAAAAATTTTTGGTTGATATTTTGATTATATTTTATAAAACGACTGCTTTCAGCAACAAATATTAAGAGTACCTTTTGTACGTAAAATTGAATTGAGAATAGATTTGTTTAGTCAAAAATGACATACAGTGCGACACAAAAAAGTTATGGTTATGGTGGCGACCTCTACCATTAATAAAAAAACTAAGTACATATTTGAGTTGCTCATTATCAATGATCCCAGTTTCCCGAATCTCGTTAAATTATCATGTTATTGAACAAAAATATAACGAAAATACCAAACAACCTTTTTTTGGTCGCTCTATATCTCAGAAACCAAGCCGTTGTGGACCCATGTTCATATCCACTTTTTATTTTTATTTATAAAATTAGTCAAGGATACACGCATTAAAGTTTGTACAAGTACTTAATAAACACCCTGTATAATTTTTATAAATTTTGATATTTATATTACTACCTTTAATTAGATATAGAACAATCTGAATTATCAGAGTTTTCATCTGTTAATAAACCTTTTTTACTTCAATTGTAAAAAAAATTGAGTTTTTTTAAGAGAAAAAGTATAACGAGTTATCCCAGAAACTAGTAAATATTTTTGTACTGTACTGTTACTGATCAAATTTTAACATATATTTTTTTCTTATACTCGTCACAATGTCAATTGCATCATCTTCCGATTAAACACAATTATAAAACCAGAAAAGAATTAATACCCGGAACACCTTCTTCCTTCAGTGAAAGTTTAGCAATTTCCCCTTCTAACCACTGGCTGATCATGGCAACACTTCTATTACTGATCAAGTCAGCATATCTTTCTTTAAATTTCTTTATTTTCTCTTTATCTGCAAGACGTTTCATAGAAAATTCATCTTGAAAATAATTTCTAGTTATTGTCTTTTCTTCCGAAGTCCATAATTTTCTACGCTTGAATTTACCTTGAAATTAAAAAGAAATTTAATAAAGCCCTTAAATATTTAAATAATCAATTACTTACCTAGGTATCGCTGTACTCTTGGAACTAAATCCTCATCTTCGTTTCCTGATGTAGAACTAGGCACGTAGTCATCACTTTCAGTATATTTTCTCTTTATTCCTTTATCAATGAAAAAAAAAACATTGACTTTTTGAAACAGAAGGGGGAAATATAATATATTTACCTGAACATCGTCTCATTTTACGAGGATTTCTATTCTCTTCTACTGATGAATCGCTACTTTCATTACTCTTTTCTCTTGTATGTTATAGTCATGAGACATGTAGTTTGATACTCTCAGTTCTTCTTCTCGAGATGGTGCACCTTTAGCTACTTGCGTTGCAAATTGTTTTCTCAAATTAGTAAATGTTAATGATTCTGATTTCATACCACTTTCTTCAAGTAGATAACGATGACATCATATGTTTTATATTTATCTTTGTTTGATGGATATGCAAAAAGAAACCTATTACTTGGGTGCACGCCCGCTTTTTGTCTATATTTTAGTAATGTTTCAATTCCAGGTAATATTTCAAATTTGTCTATTAATAATGCTGTCGAATTTCCCAATTTCCCACGAAAGGCTACTCGGACATATTTATGAGCTTGTAATTTTTCTTCTTCGCTTAGTACTTCCATGTCTTTTTGACTTACACTTTCTTTTTGATAAAAATCTTCTACTTCTAAACGTTGAGTTTCACCGGGTCTCTTACGATTAAATACTACCAAAGCTACTAAAAGATATTTGGACAATTTATGCCAGTCGTCAAATAAATATTTTCGTTCCAAATTTGTACAATGTAAAGAAATCTTATTTAATAAGTAGTGTAAGTATTGTTCAATTTCTTCGTTTTCTGGTAAACTAGTAACTTTTCTTTGCAAACACTATTGATGTAAGGAGTTACTTCCAAATTATAAAGACGGCACAATGATTTCGTTGATTTCATTAGGCGATCATCTTCTTTTTTGTCACATTCAGACTGCACGACTTCTAGAATTTTCTTAAATTCTGTGCTTAACGTCCTGGCATTTGTTGGGTGTTCGTAAACTCCTGTAGTATCATTTAGACCGGCTACAGCGTCTATTGATTTTCTAATTGTATCGATATGACATGGATGCATTAGATATTTGCAGCATTTAATATTAGAATTATAAATTTTTATTTGCATCATAAAGCGCCCCAATAAACGTAGTTGAGCTCTTATATAATTTTTTAAATGAGAATCTGTATATTTAATGCAAAGATAGTTGCCATACAATATTAATATCTCATCAAAAAGAAAGTGATTGCTCACTTCATCCTGGAACATGTTAGGTGTGATATGATTTCTTAAAGTTTGCGAAGCTCTTTCGTGAATGTATTTCAAAAGTTTTCTCGAATTACCTTGCAAAGATCTATCTCCTCTATGTGGAGAACATCTTTTTTTATGGTGACGTAAATTACTTTTATTAAAATAACCCAAGCAAGAAGGACACGGAACATATTTAACATTCTTCATAGTGCTTTCCCTTATTACAATTTTTTTTCATCAGCAGTTTGTTCTTCCGGACAGGATTATCTGGATGTATTGCTAATAGTTCTTTCACTTCAGCCTCCTTGTAATGAACACTAAATCAGTGCCTCGGCAATTGATACAATAATTTTTTACAGAAATAACAGGAATGCTGTTTATGTGTAGAATTATTTTGAATGTTTTCAGTTACAGCAGTATTCTTCCGATTACATAGACTTTGAACTTTTTTTTGGCAAACATCTGTAGTAGTCTTTTTGTTACTATTAACTTGCACATTATTCAGGTTTTTTGACTTCTTGTAACTAACTTTCTCAGTAACTAATCGCTTTAAATTTTTTTGGTTTTCCACTTTATAATTGTTTTCAGTGTTTTCATAAGCATTGTTTGTTTTTGTTGTAACTATGCCCAAATCTAAAAAAATTAACAAACGTTTACTAATAACTAAATTCAATTAGTTATAGAAATTACCTGTCACATGTTCCAGTTTTTTCTTCTTTAATTCTAGATAATGACGATTATTGCTGTAGCACATGGGTTTAGCTTCGTAATACCCCAATCTCTTATAAGGAGCCCAGTAAAGTTCATCTTTTGTTATTTCAGACAAACTTTTTGTTGGGACTATATGCAAAATACTGTCTTCTACATATTTTACAAGGCAATGCGTATTTTTTGTTTTAAAACAACACTGCCACACCATAAATCAGGGTAATAACTACGTACAAATGAATATACAAGTCGGCGTGAGCGCGAACCAGGGTCCGAGAACTTATACTTGATAAAATGGGGAAACTCTGGGAACCACGTGACTTGAGATGGATATACAAGTTGGGGAAAGAGTCTATAGATGTCGCCACAAAGATTTTGTAGAATAAATTTTGACAATTGCAATTATGAATCATTTCATGTCATTCTTGTTCATGTTTATTGTTTATTGTTGGTTAGGTTTGGCGAGTGTTGGTGTGTGTTTTATTTGTGTTTTTAGTGTGTTTTATTAGATATTTCATTCACATTTATTTATATAACATAATAATGTCTGATCATCATATAATCACATTTTTTATTAATAATAAAATGTTTTGTTTTTTTTTTT